ACAATAGCGGAGGCAACGTAGGAGTAGAGACTTAGCCTAGCTTTAGGGAATGTAAAAGACTAATAGTCCGCCTATAAATACAGAAATTCACGATTAGTCGGTAGATGCGGGCACTAGCGGGTGTCTAGTTTAGTGAATACAGAAATTGCAACGAGCGAGGCAAATGGCTAAATAGGCAATCGACGCAACTTTTCGAAGTATACGCTCTACGACCGACGTAACTAGAGTTCTCGAGTCTACGATATTGATACTTTATAAATAGGATATACTAGGCCTTCTAGAGATTACGAATGTAGAAGTACGTAGGTATGCCTATAAATATAGAAATTCACGATTGGCTAGCTAACGCGGGCGCTAGCGGGTGTCTATAGTAATAAATATAGAAATTCGATCGACTATAGGTGCCTACGATAAGAAGGCCTATCGATATAGACAAGAACTGCGATAGTACAAGAGAATAAGAGAATGTAAGCGGTTAGCAATAGTAGCGTCTAGCGCTATATAGTAAGTTTCATTTTTAATAGCGTAATAGCGCGCTAGCTACTACGAGATACTATAAGGTCTTACGACCTCGTCTTGCGACGAGGCGGCCTCGAGAACCGAACACTAGCTAAACCTAGACCAACCTAGACTAAGACTAAACAGTAGAAAAAAAAACAGAAAAATAAAGACCTAGCGCCTACTCCTCGTCCTTATTACCCTTAGCCTCCGAACTATCCGAACTATCCGACGATAAACAAGGCGGCGAGTCGCGATCTATATACGGATAGTTCGCCTAAATGTAGCGGGCGCACTTGCGCTATATACTAAAGGTATTAGTAGCGTACTCGCGGTACTCGTAGGTCGGCTCGCGGTAGTACTCGATATATAGGCGGCGGCGGCGGCGAGATAGCGACAGGATCTCTATAATGCGGCCGATATACGACTAGATCTTCTAACGGCCGGGGTAAACTAAATAATTATTAGCACATATATATAGACCTGAAAAAAGAGGAGGCCGAAGAGGGAGAGGGGGAGGGTAGAGCGGCGGCGGCGGCGGCGGCAGGCTTATCGTCGTCGACACTATAACAATGTTAGCTCTCTATTAATAGTAAAGGAGCTCGAAATGATTAAATATACGGTAGAGTTTCCTCGCTAAAAGGCGGCACTTAGTAGTCGTTCTACCTATAGATAAGATGTAAGAATGCTAAATATACTAAGTTCTCGAGGACTAAACTAGAACTTATAGGGCTAGTTCGTCGTCGCTACTAGCGTCGACTATAATATTATCGCTATATAGACTGTTAGTGAAATGAGCTCTGCGAATAACCTACTAGCTCTATACTTATCCTGCTGCTACTGCTGCTACTGCTACTACTACCGGCGCTAGCGTAGTACGAGAAAGGCCGCGCGGAAACGAGCGGCGTTAAGGGAGCGGCGGGCGAGGTCGGCGGCAGCTAAGCGCTCGCGAATACGACGACTAGAGGCAATTAGTATATATTCCTAATAAATGCTGTTAATATTAACAACTTACAGAATAGTACGGCGGCCGTAGCGGTAGGCGGTAGAGCTCTAAATAAAGCAAATTAGTTACTTAATGCCTTCCTTATCTAAGTTTAGTTAAGTCGTACCTAGCTAAAGAAGGGGTAACCGCGAGCGGTCGGAGCAAACTAGGGACCGGCTATCTTTGTTGCTTCCTATACCGTTAACGTAGGTCTTGTGTTTAAGGTAATGTTATAGACGAGGGTAAGAGGGTATATACGATATCTAAAGGAAGAAGGGAAGAAGAAGTAGAAGGAAGAACTAAGGAAGAGATATACTATCGTGAAACCCTACGGCTATTATTCTATTGTTTAAGTAATAACGAGGGTCTAGGTAGGGCTTTACTTAGATTAGGTAACGGTAATTAGCTTCGCGGTACGGCGAGGTGATGTTGCTAAAGTAAAGCGTTTGTGAATTTCTATATCCGTAGTAGTTGCTACTAGATATAGAAACTGTAATTCTAGTCGGGTAAGATTCGCGACCTTGCGATAATAGTTAGTACGGATTGGCTTCGCGCTGCGATAAGGTGATATTGCTCGAGTAAAGCGTTTATAGATTTCTGTATCCGTAGTAGTTACTACTAGATACAGAAATTGTAAATCGGCTAAGGTAAGCTTTACGACCTAGGCGACAATAGTTAGGGTTTCTTTAAGCCCGAGGCTCCCCGATACTATCCCTACGAACTAACAATAGTAGAACTGCAGATTGTAGTAAAAGGGACCGATTAGGTTTTAAGTTTAGAGTAGAGGAGAGTAACTAGTTAGGCTTAATTAGGATATATATAACCAATCGATTTTCTATATCTATAGTAAATACGTACGAATACAGAAAGTCGATTACTGCGAAGGTAGATTACTGCGAAGGTGGATTGCTACAAAGGTAGATTGCTGCGAAGGTGGATTGCTACGAATACAGAAAGTCGATTACGGCGAAGGTAGATTGCTACGAAGGTCGATTGCTACGAATATAGAAAGTCGATTGCGGCGAAGGTCGATTACTACGAAGGTCGAGCGGTTAAAAGCTAGTCGTCTCGTACTTAAGTCGTAAAGTCGTAAAGTAGTGCAGTCGTAAAGTCGATCCGCCGAGTCTATACTATCTTTTCTATATTCACAGCGCGTAGTATAGGATATAGAAAATGTAAGCTAAACAATAGGATCGAGCGTACGAAGGACTCTTTAATCGTTCCGTACCAAATTACTTTAGTAGTATATATTTGTATATCTGCTAGCTAAGGCTACGAATATAGAAAATCCTATGCATGTAATTTTTGCGCTAATGTTTCCTATGCCTGTAATTCCTATAGCTATAAAAAGCTAGTTAGATGGGACTAGTCCTATCTGAGTAATTCCTATGCTAATGTTTACCATCTAAGTAAGAGGAGTCCTATCTTAGTAATTACCATGCCAATAATTCCCATTTAAGTATTTACCCGATTTCAAAACCCCCGAGCTTTTCGGAGCCTCGCTGCGCGCGCTCTCGAATTTCGACAATTCTTTATATTCTTTAGATTCTTAGGTAAATTCTCGCTAATATATATCTTAATATTATCTATATTTATTATATAATACTATACTCTTAGTCCTATAAGTCTTAAGTTATATACTACTAGTAGGGTACTTGTTACGCTATTATCGTCGTTATCTAACGCTATCGCTTAGAGACTTTCGGCCTAAGGCAACGAAATTTTGCTACGAAGAACTTCCGAGAACTTCGCGGTACTAATAGCGATAGATATAGCGAATATATAGCGAATACTAGATATAACTTACTAGTATATATATTACCTAAGTACTTATACTTTAAGCTAGATTTTAATATATATTTTATCCGATATTACTTAGTATAGTAGGCGGAAATAGGTTATTTCTATAGAAATCGCGAAATTCGAGAGAATATATAGCGAGGCTCCGAAAGGCTTAGGGTTTTTAAAATTAAGAATAGAAGTCTTCCCTACCTATTATATAGCCTTAGTACTTGCCTATCGTATACCTTAACTTAACTTTCTCGAAATTCGACCTTCTATCTTCTAATAACTATAGCTATAGATATAACTAGTAATATAGGCGTATAATACCTAATTTAAAAGAGTAGAAAAAGCTAAATATTTCTACTACTATAAGAAAGTATTCCGTTAAGCCGTACGAGCCTTCTACCTATACTAATCTATAAGGCTTAGTCTAGTAGTCTTTAGGATACCTAGGTAGAAGATATAGACCTAGATAAGTATATAGCCTTCTTTATAATCTCTCGAATAGGCTAGACTTTAGATAAACTTAGCTTTAAATAGTTAACTAAAGTATACGACCGTTTTATAGGGAAGAAGGCTCGTAATAGTCGCGATTAGAGGCTACTTATAGTTAATAAATACCGTAACGGCTCTTATTTAACTATAGGGTTTATTAACTAGGGTCTTAAAAGGAAGATACTAGTAGGCGTATATTCGCCTTATCTAACTATTAAGAAGGGCCTTAGTATTTTTATATTATTATATTATCGCAGAGAGGTTCAGTTATAGCCTTAGAGGGCAAATAGCTATATTCTATAGGCTATTTTAGCCCGGCTTGTTCCTAGGCTCGTAGGCGAAGAATTAGGTAGAGTGGTCGTAATTGGTTATCGGCAAGTTCGGAAGCTAGCCCTGATTACTAATCTATTACGTGCACTCGGTCGCAATGTGTGTAATGGTAGCAAATAACTTGGAACATACTAGTGACCTGGAATTCTTCTTCATCTCCCTGCACGCGACTGAGGCGACTAGCTGTCTAGCGTGCATTGTCGGTAGAATGTAGGGAGATAGCATTGTTCGGCGTGACTGCTCGCTATCTATCTCCAATCACGCTACAAAATGGATGGCCCGAAGCCGCGACACTGGAGGCATGCTTATGACACACCTGCGTCAAGGTCGCGCGGAGAGCGACGAGCGATATGTGAGCGATGAGCAATGAGCCGATGATGTTTCGCTGCTAACAAGGACCGGGCAGAATGACCACGCAAGCCTCCTAGACTCCTAGGCACTCCTAGACTCCTAGGCACTCCTAGACTCCTAGGCACTCCTAGACTCCTAGGCACTCCTAGACTTGTAAACTCCTATACGCCTGGGCAGTCTGCGTCTCGGCCTCTCTCAAACGCGCGCAATGCCTCCACGAGTATGGACTGTGGCTCGGACAAGGAGACAACGCAATCCAGGCGCAATTCGGCCGTCCTCGGAAGATCGACTCTGTACACACAATTCGGGATGAAGTGTTACGCCCATGCCTTACCCTTGCTGGGCCTCGCACCTAGACTATCTCACTGCTACTAGACGTATCCGGGCACGGACGCCTGTGCCTAGGTGCACATGCGTGAATACCGCTGCGTACAGAGTTCCGATTTCCAGTACGCAGTACCCACATCCCTACTCTGCAGTGCCCTGCAGCCATTCATCTAAGTCTTTAATAGCATTTCTTACCCTAACAGAATTCACAGAAGCGCATCACGCGAATATGATTGAGCCCATTGCTGTCGTCGGGTCTTCCTGTCGCTTCCCAGGCGGCGCTTCATCTCCGTCCAAGCTGTGGCAACTGCTTAAGAATCCGAAAGACGTTCTTTCCACCATACCCAAGGACCGTCTCGGCCTAGGGGCCTTTTACCATGAAGATGGCGAGCATCATGGATCTACCAACGTTGTCGCCAAGGGATATCTGCTTGAGGAAGACCTGCGATTATTTGATGCCCCATTCTTCAATATCAATCCGATGGAAGCCGACGCAATGGACCCTCAACAGCGTCTGCTGCTTGAAACCGTCTACGAATGCATCGAGAGCGCTGGATATCCTCTCGACCAGCTGCAAGGAAGCGCAACGTCGGTATATGTGGGCTGCATGACGAACGATTACCGTGACATTCAAGGACGAGATTTGGAGACTATCAATCGCTACCATGGAACGGGCTCCTGTTTTAGCATTCTCTCCAATCGAATCAGTTACTTCTTCGATCTTCGAGGCCCTTCAGTCACGCTGGATACTGCATGCTCATCGTCTCTGGCCGCACTCCACTTTGCCGTGCAGAGTTTGCGAAATGGCGAATCAACTAGTTCAATTGTCGGAGGCGTGAATCTAATCTTCGACTATACTCCATATATTTCAGAGTCAAAACTACACATGCTGTCGCCAACATCACGAAGCTCCATGTGGGATGCGTCTGCCGACGGGTATGCGCGTGGGGAGGGCGTGTCCGCATTGATGTTGAAAACACTTTCTCAAGCCCTGGCACATGGCGATCACATCGAATGCATCATCCGCGAGACGGGAATGGGACAAGATGGGAGGACGACAGGAATGACGATGCCAAGTGGCGAAGCGCAAGCTTCTCTTATTCGCGAGACATATGCTCGCGCCGGCCTCGACCTTCGACGCAAAAGCGATCGACCACAGTATTTTGAGGCACACGGCACTGGAACTATGGCTGGTGATCCACAGGAGGCTCGTGGCATTTACGATGCATTTTTCAAGTACGATAAGAATGACGATTCCGACGGCGACATTGACGAGAAGCTATTCTGTGGATCGATCAAGACTGTCATAGGTCATCTTGAGGGTTGTGCTGGCCTGGCTGGCCTCCTGAAAGCATCATTGGCGGTGCAACATGGAACCATTCCGCCTAACCTGCTCTTCCGGAGCTTGAATCCAGACATCGCGCCGTACTATCATCGTCTGGAAGTTCCTACAAACGCAATGCCGTGGCCTTCAGGATCGTTTCCACGTCGTGCGAGTTTGAACAGCTTTGGATTTGGTGGTACCAACTGTCACGCAATCATTGAGCAGTATATACCCTCTTCTGCTCCCTATGCCTCAACACCTGAGCCAACGCCCAACGGACAAGATTTCTTCGCTGGGCCATTGCTGCTTTCAGCATCCACTGGAGCGTCTCTTGCTGCAAACATCAACGGCTTGGCAGACATGCTGGAGATGCAAAGCGAGGACGTAAGCAGCAATCCCGTCAGCATAGAAGACCTTGCCTTTTTCACACAAAGCCGTCGAACAACACTCCCACAGCGCATATCGTTCTCGGGAGGTAGATCTAGAAAGTCGTTGATCGATGCACTGCGATCGTCGACAACCGGCGTGGCCTCCGAGAACGTTGGCGTTCGAGCTCCTACGAAGCTGAAATGGCACAACCCTGGAATTCTTGGTATCTTCACAGGTCAAGGCGCACAATGGGCGACAATGGGCCGCGATCTGGCGAGCAAGTGCTATACATTCAAGAAAAGTCTCCAGACTTGCGAAGCTGCTCTTGCATCACTTCCTGATGCGCCGACTTGGTCACTCACGCAAGAACTTGCTAAAGAGCAATCGGAATCGCGCCTCAACGAAGCAGCCCTTGCACAGCCTCTCTGTACGGCGATTCAGATCGCTTTGGTGGACACTCTGGCGGCTGCCGGTATATCATTCCGCGGCGTTGTGGGTCACTCATCCGGCGAAATCGCTGCTACTTATGCCGCCGGCCTGCTGTCCGCCGAAGATGCCATGCGAGTGGCCTTCTATCGAGGCCTCCACGCCCACCTAGCGCAAGGAGAACGAGGTCAAAGTGGAGCCATGTTGGCGGTTGGCTTGGGCATCGACGATGCTGAGGCTTTCTGCTTGGACTTTGGCAGCCGTCTGAGCGTCGCAGCCAGCAACTCTCCTACATCGACCACACTCTCTGGCGATGAAGATGCGGTGCTGTCAGCCAAGGAGTTGTTGGACGAGCGAAAGACCTTTGCCAGACTGCTGAAAGTTGACACAGCCTATCATTCGGCCCATATGCTCCCCTGCGCCGCGCCTTATCTGGCTTCGCTGAGAGCATGTAATATTCAAGTGCGACCTCAGAACAATGAATGCATCTGGATCTCCTCAGTCCATGGTCATGCTGAGCTGTTAGACGACCCGGCGGATCTTGAAGTACTGGCTGATGAATATTGGGTTTCCAATATGTGTCAGCCAGTTCTGTTCTCTGATGCCGTCGAGTGCTCTTTATGGCGTGCTGGACCATTTGATCTTGCGGTCGAAGTGGGTGCTCACCCTGCATTGAAGGGTCCTGCAACACAGACCATCACGACAGCCTTGGGTCCGAATGCGCTACTTCCGTATGTGGCCACTCTGCAACGCGGCCAAAACGACGTTTCAGCATTCTCTGCTTCGCTCGGGTCCTTATGGACTACTCTCGGCAATTGGGTGGATCTGGACGGCTGGAGGCGAGGATACCTAGGGCCTGGCTCTGGGGCCTTCGCTCCGGTTGTCAAGTCAATACCAAGTTACAGCTGGTCACACAACCAGATTTTCTGGAAGGAGAGTCGCTTGTCCAGCCGATACCGCCTGGCAGACCGACGACCGCACGAGCTACTTGGTAGACGAGTCGCTGATGACTCAGACAACGAAATGCGCTGGCGGAACGTTTTGAAAGTCAGCGAATTGCCGTGGACAAGGGGTCATGTCTTCGAAAACGCAATACTTTTCCCCACCGTAGGCTACGTGGCTTTGGCTGTCCAAGCAGCAGCAGAGATTGCTGGCCTTGATCGGATCAAACTAGTCGAGGTCCACGACTTGGTCATTCCTCGTGCCTTGGTGCTTGAGGATAACCACGCCGGGGTGGAGATAGTATTCTCTGTGCGGCGTCGACAACCAGCAAGCCATGACGCCTTGACTGTCGACACAGATTTTGCTTGCCATTCGAGCGTTCAGGGTGGCGCTCTGGAGAAGAACGCCAGCGGACGCCTCATCATCGAGCTGTTCTCCTCTAATGATGAGGAAGATCACCTTGGTGATGTGAATCTATTGCCAGAACGCCGGCCATGTCGTTCCGGGACGACGTCAATCGAAGGTGAAGCATATTACCAGGCCATCCTCAAGACCACTGGATTGAACTACACTGGAATCTTCCGAGGTATGAAACACATTCGTCGAACGCTCGGCTTCTCCAGCGCCCGGGCATCGTGGCCAGCCGAAGATGTGGGAGATCAATACATCGCTCACCCAGGCCTGCTGGATGTTGCACTACAGGCGCTCTTGGCAGCGAAGATGAACCCTGCCCGCATCCCCATGCAAGGGTCATTTTTGCCTTCGGCAATGTCTCGCATGGTATTCAATCCTCACGCCCGTAGTCTCTCTGACGATGGCACGGAAGTGGTGTTTGAGACAGACTGCGTCCTGACGAAGAACAATGCTCGCTCTTTCGTAGGCGACCTTCATGTCTTTGGACCCTCGGCGGAATGCATACTGCAAATTGAGGGCTTCCGGATGGATAACTGGAAGCAGCTGAGTGCGAAACAAGATCGCCCGGTGTTCTCTCATTTGGACTACCAACCAGACCTGTTCCATGCTAATGGCAACAACCTTCCTGAGCTCCATCCAGACGCGGCCGAACAGAAACTCATTGAAGCAATCAACAGATCATGCCTGTACTATCTACGCACTTACTTCTCTTCGGTCTCCGATGCGCAGGTCGCTAGCTGGACCTGGGATCGTCAGGCATTCTATAATTCAGTAAAACTCGTCTTGCAGCATACATCGAACGGCACGCATCCAAACTTACAGAAATCTTGGCTCGACGACACGGCTGATCTGATGGAGAGCTACAAGCAGACGCCAGCCTTCAAAGATCAAATCGACATGAGAGCTGTGCACGTGGCGGGCGAACACCTGGCCAATGTCATGGCAGGGGAGGAGAGGCCGCTGGAAGTCTACCTGCGCGAGAATGTCTGGGCAAAGCTATACTCGCATGGCCGCTATCAATTACGGCTGAATCAGACCATTGCTGACCTTGTCCGCACCTTCTCCCACCGATATCCACGTGCGAGATATTGTGAGGTTGGTGGTGGCAGTGGGGGCACAACGCAGAGTATACTCAGCGCTCTTGGAGATGCTGTTGGCCAGTACACCTTCACAGACGTCTCGGCAGGCTTCTTCGAGACGACGCGAGAGCGCTTAGCCCATACAGACGCTGCAGCCGCAGGTCGAGTGGTGTACAAAGTCTTCGACGTGGAGCGAGATCCTGTCGAGCAAGGATTCGAGGCTGAGTCCCAAGATGTGGTTATTGCCGCAAATGTGCTCCACGCCACGAGCGACCTGACCAAGGCGGTGCAGAATGTACGCCGCATACTGAAGCCCGGAGGATACTTATTCATGCTGGAGGTGACGGGGGAATTCCTCGAAGGGCTATTGCTCATGGGTCCTCTAGAAGGCTGGTGGCTCGGAAATCGCGAGGGAACGGCCAGCCAGCCTGGATTGTCACTTCAAGGATGGGACGACCTCTTCCGATCAACAGGCTTCACGGGCGTTGACCAGCATCAGAGTGATGTCCCGGACCTGGATACGCACGCAATCTCAGTGGTCGTCACGCAGGCGACCGATTCGCGGGTGGAGATTCTTCGCGAGCCTTTGGAATTCTTGGACGACTTGCCGCTGAGTGATCAAGTGTTGATCATCGGAGGACAATCCCTGGCTATGGCAAAGACCGTTCGAAGCATCGCGCAGTACGTAGCGCGCTTTGCGGGACGTGTCCAGGTTGTGCAGAGCATTGACAAGATTGATCCCGACATCCACACGACGGCTCCTACTGCTGTCATTGCCCTGTGCGATCTCGAGCGGCCCTTCTTCGCCGACGCCATCACCGAGACACGGCTTCGGAAGGTTCAAGCTCTCTTTGCACAGGCTACGGATATGTTGTGGGTGACTCCGGGCCATCTCGACGACCATGACCCGCACGCAGCCATGATGGTCGGTCTTTGCCGGACGGTGGTGATAGAATTGGAGCAGCTCAATCTTCAGTTCCTGAACATGTCTGCGAAGGGCTCTCGGTCAGTGAATGCTCGCCCGATCGTTGAGGCGTTTGCTCGCCTTCAGCTCGGCGCTTCAGAGAACTTCCAGCTCCAGCCAGTTCTCTGGTCAAACGAGCCTGAGCTCACGCTTACGTCCGACGGTGAGGTGCTGATTACACGCTTAAAGCCAGATTCAGAGCGTAACAACCGGCTCAATTCCGATGGACGGCATATTAGCAAGGCGGTCGACTCCGTTGACGTGGCTAAGCACAAGTATACTGCTGTGTCTCGCGATGGCTCCATCAATGTCGAGCAAGCAGAGCCGTGGCTGCTTGGTGTAGGCCGTTGTCAGCAAGAAGTCGAAGGGGCCACTTCAATTAGAACCCTCTATTCTGTCACTTTGCCATGGTCCTCCTCCACAGTCCTCGCCACAGGCTTGGATAGCAAAGACCAACCCGTCCTCGTCCTCGCCAACGCCCATTCCTCGATGGTCTCCGCTGGTCCGACTTCGTCACTAGCGCTCGAGGCGACGACTCCATGCAACGAACAGCACCTGAGAGCCTGCGCTCTTTCAGTGTTCGCTAGACAAGTCCATGCCAACATTCCTCCTAGTCGCACTTTACGAGGACACAAGGTGGTCATCCATGGCGCATCCCCGGCTCTGGCTAAAGTTATAGCGAAGCTTGCTACGGGTCAGTCGCAACTCGTGTTCACCCAGTCAACGGCCAATGTCAAGTCGACCCATGCTCATGCCGTGCGCCTACATCCTCGAGCATCGACGTACAGCCTGCAGAGGTCTCTTCCTGCCAACATCGGCTACGTTGTAGCACTTGACAGAGACGATCCGGTCACCACTAAGCTGCTGTCAGTGTTCCCAGGCATCACGTTCGACCTTGATGCGCTCCTGCTAGAGGGGAAGATCTTGCCGCTCGCAGAACTTGGTTCTGTGATTTCGCAAACCCTAGCAGACATGGATGGTACCGTCGAGCATAGAACAGCAATATCAGCACACCACTTGCCCGGTCTTCCAAGTGCTTCGCTTCAATATCCTGCTGTCATCGATTGGACCATTCCTCATGAAAGCTCGCTGCAGGTCACCATCGGCCCAATCCGCGGCCAAGGACTATTCAACCCAAACAAAACATATTTCCTGGTTGGTCTTGTCTCAACCCTTGGTCGTTCGATCTGCAGATGGATGGTTGAGAATGGAGCGCGTCACATTGCGTTGGCCAGTCGCAGCGCCAATATCGATCCCCAATGGCTTGAAGAAGTGTCTCAACTCGGAGCCAAGGTCATGGTCTACCGCATGGACGTTTCCGACAAGACCAGCGTACAACGGACTGTTGCCACCATACGCGATGAGATGCCACCGATTGTAGGCGTGGCAAATGCCGCGCTCGTACTTCGAGACCGACTCTTCCTGGACATGCAAGCTTCCGACATGAATGACGTTCTTGGGCCAAAAGTCAACGGTTCATTGTACCTTCATGAGGAATTCAGTGACCCAACCCTCGATTTCTTCATCCTCTTCTCCACCCTGTCATGTCTCATTGGAAATGCCGGCCAGTCTAATTACGACGCCGCATCTCTTTACCAAGTCATGTTGGCAAAGCATCGTCGACAACAAGGACTCGCTGCATCGGTCATCGATGTGGGAGCTGTCGCGGACGTTGGATACGTTGCCGAACGCGGCCAGGCAATGTTTGACAAGCTGGCACGAACAATGAAGCTACCTCTTTCCGAGGTCGATGTGCACCAGATCTTTGCCGAAGCTGTGGCAGCAAGCCCTGTCCGGGAAGGCGAGATCGTGACTTCGACTACCGCAGAGATCGTAACCGGCATGGGACCTTACGTGTACGACAGCAACACGCCTAGCGAATCACATCCTCAATGGTACAAGAACATTCTTGCCTCTCACTACGTTCGAGAGGAAAAAGTGTCCAGCAATTTGGCCGGTGGAGCAGATGCTGACCCCTTGTCGGTCGCTGCTCGCCTAGAAGCCTCGACGTCCGAAGGCACTGTCACTGCAGTTCTGACGCAAGCCCTGGCCAGTAGGGTGGAAAGAATGCTCCAAATGTCTCCAGGCAGTTTCAAGGCCGACGTCCCCTTGCTAGATATGGGCATTGACTCGCTTCTTGCAGTCGAGTTGCGTACCTGGTTCTTGAAAGAGGTACACGTAGATGTCCCCGTCCTCAAGCTCCTGAGTGGAGAAAGCGGCGAATCCATATGTGCCTTTGCCGCATCTCAGTACCTTGCGGAGAAGAGCAAGGTCAACATAGAAGCAGATCCTACAGACTCCGCGACCCCCGAGAAAGATTCGGATCGTGATGGGAGGGCAAGCATATCATCTTCGGATGCCGAACGATTGAACTCGTCGTCGGGTACTAGTGATACTGGCGATTCGGGTGTGGAGATGAGGATGAGCGACAGCGAAGCTGAGCACAAAGAGGAGGAAACAGATGATGTAGTACCATCACCGCCGACTCTCAAGAGCACCGCGCCCATGACCCACGCTCAGACGAGGTGAGTCTTGGCCTGCGACCGCCCCGAGCGGACGCCCCTTGCTATTTCGGATTACCCGTGGACTGACGTGTCTGATTTAGAATGTGGATTGCTGACCAAATGTCAGCAGATCACACCCGAAACAACAACATCCTCATATATGACGTGAAAGGTCACGTTCATATCGCTCGTCTTCGTCGTGCAGTCGCGACAGTCGTGGCTCACCATCCGGGACTACATACCTGTTTCTTCCAGGACGGCACGGATGCACCACGGCAAGGCCTTCTCGAAACCCCTGTAGAGTGTTTCAAGCACATTCCCGCGTCGACAGAAAGTCGCGAGGCCGTGAGAGCTACACAGAATGAGCTACGTGCACGAAAGTGGCGCCTAGAGCATGGTCAAGCTCTCGAGGTCGTGCTCATTTCTCATACGAGCAATGAACATACACTGCTGTTCGGTTATCATCATATCGCGATGGATGGCTCCTCTTGGCGCACGTTCTTTCGAGACCTACACATGGCCTACACAGGTGTAGCTTTGCCGGCTCCTGGCAAATCTACCATCTCCCTTGCAATCGAAGAGGCGACAGATGATACTATCTCCGATGGTCTGAGCACGTTTTGGTGTCAGCAGTTCTCAACGCTGCCTGAGCCCTTCCCCCTTCTCCCTTTCGCGTCTGTCAAAGCACGGCCAGCTCTGGAGCGACTCTCCAATCATACAGTCCTCGCCGAACTTGATGGAGAGATAGCCGACCGCATCAACATCATCAGTCGATCCCTTGGCGTTACATCTGTTAATCTGTACCTGGCAGCTGTGCAAGCTCTCCTCTCACGCCTCGCTGAGACGGACGATATCTGTATCGGAGTCACAGACTCTGGTCGTGATGCCGAGACTGCCGAGAGCATGGGTTTCTTCGTCAATATGCTCCCTGTACGACTTCGAACATCAACGTCGAGACTTTTCGGGGAACTGGTTCAACAAGTCAACGCGACATATCGTGAGGCACGGGCCCATGCCAACGTACCCTTTGATTCGATTCTAGACAAGGTGAGTGAACCGAAAGGGCGAGGCCGATTCTCTCGGACGGAGTTATTCAACGTTGGAACATTTGCTAATCTCAAACCCACTTAATTACAGGTTGGCGTTCGACGTGATCCAACATGCACACCTCTCTTCCAGGTCGGCTTCGATGTCCGTCCTGGACAGTCCGCTGCGATGCCGCTCGGGAACTGTCAATTGAATATCTGCGACTCTATCGACTCGACCACGCCATACGATATCACCTTCCTCGTCGTTCCGATGCCTGTATCTGGACCTTCTTTCGTTCAAGTCTTCACACGCGCAGATCTCTACTCCCGGGAGGCCACTGAGCTCCTGGCACAAATGTACATCACACTTTTGAGCAACGCGATTCACCAGTCCGTGGTCGACTTTCCTCTCGAGAATCTTCAGATCTATCCTCGCGCTATGGTCCAGAAAGCCCTCGAACATGGTAAGCCCGATCGCAAAGCCTTTGCTGATTGGCCATCGACCATAACAGCAAGATTCGATCAAATCCTGACCGTCCATTCCACTTCCACGGCTGTGAAGGATCTCTCTGGCTCCTTGACCTATGCTGAATTGGCCCATGCCATCATGTCCTTGGCTGTCCGCATCCTTCCCTACCGAGGCCGTCGCATTGCTGTCATCTGTGAGCCCCTGCGGGAGTGGGCAATCAGTATGCTCGCCATTCACCGAGTCGGTGCAACATTTGTTCCACTGGATGCAACACTCCCTCCCGCGAGGCTTGTAGCCATGCTGCGGGCATCTGAGGCCGACGTAGTCCTGTGCCATACCGCAACCAGTGTGCTTGCCTCTCAAGTGGTGTCTGATTCTGGCTCAAAGGCTCAACCACTTTTACTAGAGGACACACCGATGTTGTGCGACCCAGCTCAAGTGGTGGACAATTTGGAGAAAGCATTGACGCCGTCTACAATCATCTGCACAAGTGGAACGACTGGTGCACCCAAGGCCATCTTGCTTACCGCTCGTGGTCTGCTCAATTGGGTTGCCAATCAACATGACCTGCTGGGTGTCAAGAAGGGCGAGGTTGTACTTCAGCAGAGCAATCTCGGGTTCGACATGGCTATTGCACAGCTTTTGTTGGCCTTCTGCCACGGAGGGACACTGATTATCGCTCCGCAGGCAAGCCGTGGAGACCCGGTGAGTATCCCCTTGCACACATTCTTCTCGGACATGACACCGCTATCTCGAGATCAGCGCCGACATCATTTGAAACATTGCTAATCGGTCTCTCCTGCTTTCAGGTGGCTTTGACCAATTTGATGGTGAAGGAGAACGTCGGCCTGACCATCGCTACTCCAACCGAGTATCTTATGTGGCTATGTTACAGCGGCGACGTTCCGTCTCGTATCAGTCACTGGCGTTTAGCAATATGTGGTGGAGAAAAACTTCCGTCCACCCTTCGCAGAGAATTTGAGGCCCTCCCTCACCGTCCACGTTTCACCGACTGTTACGGACCAGCTGAGACCACCATTTGCTGCACGATGCCTCATGACACAGGCAGGCCTGCCGAGGATCCGCTCACAATAGGCGCAACATCAATCGGCCGCCCTCTTGCTAACGTTGGTATTTTCATCATCGACTCTCAAGGTCACATCTGTCCACCAGGCATTCCTGGAGAAATCAGCATCACGGGAGATGCGCTCGCTCTTGGCTATGTGGATCCAATCGCTACTGCGAAGGCCTTTGTCGACAGCCGTAGCTACACCATTGACTCCCGGGAAGGCATCAGGCTTGAAGAAGGAACAATGTACAAGAGCGGCGATCGTGGCGTTTGGCGCTCTGACGGCACTCTTGGCTTCTTGGGTCGACTAAGCAACGACACGGTTGTGAAGATACGAGGTATCCGGGTCGACTTGAGTGATGTTGAACACGCCATCCTATCTCAAGGCTCGCATCTCATTTCTGACGCTGTCGTCACTTTACATCAGGACAACGATGATGTCCTTCTAGTGGCGCATATCAGCCCAGCTATCAAGAACAATGACGCGCTCGAGGCACCGCTCGAAGACTTCATGCGACAGCTAGCGCTTCCGCGACACATGAAGCCCACTCGCGTTGTGCTCTACACGAAATTGCCAATGAACGCAAATGGTAAAGCGGACCGGGGAATACTGGCTCGCACTCCACTGCCTCCACGGAAAGCCAGTGCTGAACATCACGAGGGACCTGCTGCTGGCATGGCGATGCTGAAGCAGGTGGAGCTGCATCTGCTATGGCAACGCGCTCTTGGTCGTACGGACGTTCCTCGTCGTACGGACGTTGACTTCTTGGCCATCGGAGGCTCATCTCTGCACTTGGTGAAGCTCCAGGCAGCGATTCGTACAGATATGCTCGTCACCCTATCCATTCGAGATATGTTCATGCACAGCACGCTAGGAGGTATGGCCGACTTGATCACGAACCGCTCCGCCGACCAGTCTACTCCTGACCGAATCGACTGGGACCAGGAGACAAGGCTCAGCGAAGATATGGTACTGGCATTGAGATGGCAACATATCATGGACAGGTCGTCTCCCCGAGACACATCCGAGGTCCTGTTGACTGGTGCAGATAGCTTCCTTGGTGGCCACATTCTGCGTGCTCTACTTCGCGATCCCGCCATCCAACGGGTTCACTGTCTCGCAGTGGAGTCAGTTCCCGCGGATGTCGATGCCCGGCGCGTTGCTGTGTACGAAAGCAGCCACAGTCTACGCCAACAGAATCTTGGCTTGAGCGAAGATAGCATTTCCCGTCTCGTGGAAGGCGTGGACCGAATCATCATCGCCGGAAGTACTGGCCACTGCTTGAACAACTACTTCTCACTCCGACAAACGAATGTGGCCAGCACGAAACTCCTCGCCAAATGGGCGGCTCGTCGCCGTGTGCCGCTCCACTACATCTCTTCCAGCCGAGTGACACTGCTTCACGCAGACTCACAGGCCGCGCTCCCACCGATCAGCGTGAAAGAGCACCAGCCACCGCTGGATGGATCGGAGGGCTACACGGCATCCAAATGGGCCAGCGAAGTCTTCCTCGAAGGCGTGGCAGAAGCAGCAGGAGGCGCATTCCCCATCACGATCCATCGTCCTTGTGCACTGCTCGGAGACGAAGCTCCTTCCGACGACGCGCTGAACGCCATCCTCGAATTCTCGGCCAGGATGGCGGCAATCCCTCGCGTCTCGCAAATGGCCGTCCACGGATTCTTCGATTTCGCGCGCATTGAGACCGTCTCGGCGGATATTGTGGGCGATGTGCTTGCGCGGCCGCAGCCACAACATCTTCGCTTCCGTCACTACAGCGGAGGGGTCAGAGTGCCGCCGAGCGATTTCAAAGGCTATATGGAAGCATTCTATCAGAAGGAGTTTGTGGAGGTGGAGTTGGACGAATGGCTGGCGAGGGCGTTGGAGTTGGGCATTGAGCCGCTGATTACGGTGTACTTGCGGGCGACGTATGGGAGTGTTGGGAATCGCAACATCGTATTTCCCTACATGGGCGCTTCGGAGGAGAGTTGATATGTATATGAGAGACGAATGGAATAGACAGGGACATTAGAACCCGGATTGCCTCAAAAGGGAACCCGTCGATCCCGTTCCCAAAGCCTCCGCTGAAATGAACATCTCTCGTCTCTCTGCATCTCCAACAATGTTCCAATGCAAACTCGCGATCCTACGATACGCCACGTACCTCATGTCCCCAGCGCGTTTCGACCACCGCCACGTACCTCATGTCCCCAGCGCCTTTCGACCACCAGCTTCCGAGTCTGCGCCTGGATGATCATTCTTGAAGGGAAGAGAGGAGATATACGGCACAAGGGAATTCAGACTGGTTGCAGATGAGCTATTTTTCGATACATGTCTGGACAATGCTTCGTATGAAATCACGGTCTCTGCTGGCTGGAGCAGGAGCAAGACAAAGAAAGCACATGGCCAATGATGTGGTCTGTCTGCAGTTCTTTGTGTCGCCGAGTATGGCCATCTCGAAGACACGCATGAAGAAGTCTCATTTCCGTTTCGGACAAAGAAGCCCTTAATAGCAGCCGGCGAGCACCTCGAAATGGCACCAGTACATCTTCCCATCCACCAGCTGCGCAAAGCAGTTCTATCCGCATTTCATCCTCCGCAGGTCGCAGGAATCACCACTCGCCGTTTTCTTTCCCGTAATCCATCGAACAGCTCCCCGAAATGGCACCTTCCACGCGCAACAATACAGTCCTGGCAAAGAAGATCGCGACGCTGCAGCTTCGTCTCGCACCGCTCGTGCCTCTCCCAGAAGGCCCACCACATCCGGACTTCCCAAAGACGCTGATGGCCTTCCATCTGCTCACGGAAGACCAGCTCGACAGCATCGCGCACTATTACCATCAATCCACCCCGCACCGCTTCACCCATCACTATCCGGCGACCATGAATTGGGACAAAGAGTTTCTTGCAAAACCAAGAGTCACCACACCGACTTCCGCTGTCAGCAAAGACGGCAGGCAACCGCGACGGCACAGCAGAGCTCTGTCCCATGATGAGGCACAGTGGCTCGAAGACTTGATGGACACGGTGGAGGACCTTCAGACCCCCGTCGTCCCTAGCCAAGCAGACGACATTCAAGGTAGCAGCCGCAATCCGTACGCCAATCTCAGTGACAAAGAGCGCATACGCATCAAGAGGAGGAAAGTAGGCAAATTCATCGGGCTGGTGGGCATGGAGACACCGATTGAGGAAGTCACGGGTCGCGTTCAGGCGAGCATCGATCGAGCTGTAGAGCGCAGCAGAGAAGAACTGCGGCGGAACGAGGAAGTCATGTTGCGAAGGCGAAAGATGGCGTGAGTTGGATCGACCCTACCCACATTTCTTTTCTTCAGGATGCTCGTATTGATCGTTGATTACAGTCCTTCGACTTCTCGGCGTGCTAGCTCGTAGCGTTTGGATAGAAAACATCATTCGTTCCCCAATTCATAAAGTCTCCTTCAAAATCGCAACATCTTTCCATCCTGCGCTTGATACCTGGATTTTCATGCTCTCGAGAACACGTGCTTTGACGTTTTGATCTCGCACATCAATCCCAGCAAATGCACCGTGCGTGCTCGTAAAGTCGTACGGCTTCAATCTCTTCCACATCTCATGGATGACATCCGGGGGAAGAGGGATCATATTCGGGATCGACCACATGAAGACATAAGAGTTCGTTCCGGGCGGGCGATCGACATGGTACAACCCAGACTGTCCTCTCATCAGCACCACTCATCTCCCACCTCCAACAACAATCCCATCATCATACTTCCCACTCACCGGCGTCGTCACCAACGTATCAGCAACCATCAACTTCTCCTCCCAAAGCAAACACAACGATCCCGGAAAATGTCCGCCCACCTTAATGGCCTTGACAACATCCCTTCTTCCACTCCCACCCCCCAAAATCTCTTCTTCAATCCTCCCCGTCCCAATCATTTTCCTCCTCCCATCCGGATCACCCCGATTCACCCACTCGACATCCTCCTCGGACACAACCACGGGACAATCAAACGTCTTCGCCCAATCCAGATGCGTGGTGTAGTAATGCGGATGGGAAATCACAATCGCGTGGAGTCCGCCCTTGGAGGTGATGAAATCCACCGTCTCCTGGTCGAGGTAGGTGATGCAGTCCCACAAAACATTCCCCCCGGGAGTTTCGAGGAGAATGCAGCGTTGGCCGATGGCGAATTTGGGCGAGGTGAAGATGGAGGTCATTCGGGGGTCGAATTTTTCGGGTTGGATTACGTTGTGGTAGGTTTTGCCGTGTCGCATTGCGGAGAGATTTGTCCATGTTTGGCCGGTGGGAGGGATGAATTGGCGTGGGTCCTGGGGATGGGTGGGTGTGGTTAGTGTTGGGTTGGGGTGTTGCGATAGGGAGGGTACTGTACGTCGCAGATTCTACAGCCTTTGGGGGGACTCGATGCCGGGATGTCGAATTGTGTGCCGCATGCTACGCATATGAGCAGATCGTCTCTCGTTTTTAGTGTCGCCATTGTTCGATTGTCTTGTCTTTTGGAGGATTGGGTTGTTGATGATATCGTCGCTCAGCTTTGGCCGATGCTCGGCGTCGGCCCTCCATCCCTGCCACTTCCCTCCCACTCTTGCACAGATACATCCCTACCTAGATATATGTGGGACTCGGACGCATAGCTTCGTCGCGAGTTCAGACAATGCTTGAGGCATCTCGACAATCGCAACTATTAGGTAGGCATCGGGAATGAGTTGCTAGACCTCGTTAGGGTAAATTTGCTGAGGGTCATGGGCTACGAGATTACCAATATACTCTCAAGACTTCTATATCTTGAGGGTAGCTCAAGTAATTGAATTTTTTTCAGATTGTACCAGTGAGTCGTGATGCCAAGTCGACATTTATCGTAGTTGCATTGCCGCTTCCTCTCCACGTCAACTGCAGAACTGCACTACAGTACCAGGATAGATCTTTGCAATATTCAAATTTCGAAATCATACATGGAACAAGGCCAGGCCTTGAGAACTTGTCGACGCGATGTTGAGAGCGGCACGGTTCCATGGTCGATTCCAAAGCAATGATCGAACCTTGTCCCACAGCAGGGACAAAGCATACAGAGGACTGCTACCAATGCTATCTCGCGACAGCACACGAGCTCGCAATGTGAAGAGTGATTAGGTTGAGTATAGGGAGGGCCCTCGATGAAAAGACTCGTGTATGCGTCACTGGAGTTTGCGTTGGAGCAAGACGTCTGCTTTGTTGATGCTGGCATCAGAAAGTATCAGAAAGCATCAGTTTAGCTGCTGTCTTCCTCGTCATCGCTTGCGTCCTGGTTGGCTTTCGCCAGCTCCATTCTTAAAGCGCGCAAAGTGCCCTCCAAACTCTCCTTCAACATTGGCGTCTTGACCTCCTTGATCTGCGATTCAAGCGTCTCGATCTTCTGCAAGAGCTCTTCCCTCTCTCGGTCCTCTTCTGACTCACCAGCCGATGCCATACCCTTTCCATCCTCCATCACCTCGATCTCATCGCCCCATGCCCCAGCGAATTCTCTTGCCATGCGAGAATCCTTGATAGCGAAAACAACCTGATTGAAATTGCCGCATTCTCCTCGCAGCGCATACCTCCACGCTTGAGCAATCTCATGAACAGGGTTTCCGTAGGCTCCACAGCCCCAAGCCCCCAACACGACGCGATCGGCTTTCTTCTCGACCAGAATCTGTAGCACACGTCGAATTTTCTCTCGGGCAAGATCTCGATCCTTTTGACTCGCATAGCAACCATGCTCTGTAAGGTCTGGAAATCGTAACATGCCCGCTGAGATAACATCGACATAAAATCGCCGAGCCTTCGGAAGAGTTTCTTCTTGCAAACGGAAGACGAGAGCATCCGGTGACCAGATTCCGCCGAGCTCAGGCAGACGATACCATTCTTCCTTCAATGACGGCAAGAGCGTGGTACGTGTACACAGCAGTTCTTCTTGTGATGTTGCGCCGTTCAGCACGCCGCCACCAGGTCTCAAAGGCGAGGCCATGTTGAGAACAGCGACATTCTTCTTAGACCTTGAACTATGGTGCAGATCTTGCGCTACCACAAGTGTGTCTGCGACGTGGATGCGAAGCTCCAAAGAAGGCGAGGCAGAGTCCTGATTCGGGGACGTTTGAGAAGAGTCATCAGCTCCTTGGCTTGCGCGCCTCGTAGCTTTCTTGCTTCGACTCTTGACGCCTGGAGGATGCGAGATCAGCTCAGCGTTTGCAACACCTTTCCGCGCTCTTGCATCGGAATTCAGGATTTGCGGAATTGTCTTGGTGATTATGACGCGTGCGTGTTTGGCTCTCTGGTCCTTTCGAAAGCCTTGTTGAGCGATGGGGGCGTAAGAAGGTTGAGCTCGACCCATGGTACGATCTTCCTCGATATGATTGAGTGTATTCCCGTAAGGAAAGACTTTGGCTGTGACCAAGTCATGTTCGAAATCACGCAGTTTCTAGTGCGTTTCTCGCCACCGTGATGGCTGACTGCGAGCGGATGCTGCTCAAAGTTGTTGTAGCGACAGAGTGCATCTGAAACATCTCTTTTCGGATCAAAACAAGACAGCCCGTTACTGTCGACCGATATTCAGCTTCTTTTTGGCACGATAATTTGGAGAGAAACAGGTGAAGAAGAAGGCGTGAGGAAGCTAGATGTGTCTCAGAGATCTCAGACGGAAAGGACTTAGTCCACCCGGCCTAAAGCTTGAGACAAGCCATACATCTTCACGACGCACTTCTGCCTCATACTACTTGGACCAGATTATGCGGTGACTTGTTTCGAGATAGTGCCATCAAGACCACTAATACCGCCCCAATGTCGACTCTCAATGAAAGCTGGGACCATCTCACAGCCTCTTCCTCGTCCCATCCTCCTCAACAACAATAATTCTCTTCCCAATCACAACTCCCGTCGCATTCGGATCAGGAGGATTCATCTTCCGGTTCCATTGACCAGTCACAGACAAATGATTGACATACACAGGTCCGATCGGGCGAGAAATATAATGACTCCGCACCTCTTGTGGCATGTTGGTGAGATAGTGACGTTTTTGAAGTTTGCTGTTGGAGATGGGGTGGAATCTGTCTTCGCTGGGTTGCAGAAAGAAGACCTTGAGGCCGGCGTAGAAGTCGGAGAGGGATGGCATGAGAGGTGTGTGGCGGAATCAAGGATGAGGGATGCACAATTGTGTTTTATGCATCGTCTCTGATCGATCTGCTGGGCCTCTGTGATCGAGCAAACAGCATTGAAGGGCTTCTTGATGTCGTCAAGGGTGTTTTTGAACCTATTCACTTAAGCCTGCTCGTCTTGGGTCGTAGATATGTCCCGCTTTGCTCTGTATCGTATGGACCTGTCGTATGGACCTGTCGTGACACTGCCTCGACTTGAGGCGGCACGTAGCCGTGTTGGACCTCTTTCTCTATGCTTCTCACGGTATCTGTTCGGACGAGCATACCATGTTGGCTGGTGTTCTGGATGCAGTGATACGCAGTATGGATGTAGACAAGCGTCGCCGTCGTCGTCGCCGTCGCCTGAAGGGCGATCAGTGTTACGTGGCTTCGACGAGCAGAGACCCATCCTTCCTGCGAATGTGTGGACTGCTTCAATAACAGGGAGTCGCGATCAAAATAGCGTTCGAGGATCTTTCTTCACTACGACTGGAAAGATCTGGCATCGTCATTAGAACGCCGTGTGTTGCCGCTCTAGCGCCTTCACGATGGCACTTCCACAGTGGAGGGGCTGGGAATGGTCACGGTCGCCATCTCATGCCTCCCATAAAGAGCAGTGCATGTAGAGAAGTTGACTTGCGATCTGGGAGAATTTTGTCTAGATATCCCAGCCTTTTGAGAACCAATACAGCCAGTCGATCAGCGCCTCATCATTCTCGTTCACATCATCGCGTACTGGCGCACGCCTTCCTCTCAGACTCACACTCGATTGCTTGCATCCTGGCGCTCAAAACGATCGTTAGCAAACCAGTCTAGCCTCCTGACCATACATGTATGTATGCCACTTGCCCATATCTAGACGTCAAAGTAATCAGCCACCAGTTTCTGACGTGCGGCATCGGTATCGACAGCTATTCCGTACCCATGTGACTTGGACTCGACCTGCTGCTGGCGTCGCAACGATAGCTGTAGCCTTCGACTTCTTCCTCATGTTGCCAATGTCTCGAATCCAGGAGCATATGCACATCGTTCGGGATGTGCTCGTTCAGTATCGCTTCGGGCGGGGATCGAGGCTCAGCAATGGCGTCTATTCTCTGATCAGCAAATATACGGACCGGCGTGCAGGAAGACTTCTACCTTGAAGCTGAAGCTCCGACCAGGACGATGGGCTCGTTGGCAGGGCAAAGACATGCGCAGTTAGGATAGAGACAATGATATAGATCTTTATCATTGGAGGCGCGAAGATGTCAATGTGACAAGATGACAAGGGTTGAAGATCCGGTCCGGGACCAAGCACCGATGTGGTGCGATGTAAGTCTCAGGCCTCTGCTGGAGCGTCTTAGCAGTGCCAAAGCGACGACGACCTGGCTCTATGAAAACTGTGGATATGGCCACCGGGGCGCAACCTGTGGTATATCCCTATGTGTTGTGATTAAGCTGAGCAGAACAAGTCATTAATTGATTAACTATAGAATTGTATAAGGAAAGGAATCAAGTTTCTATCTAAGCTAAAGGCTATATATATCGCTAGGAAATTAGGCCTTAGCACTTGGCAGTGCTAACTAATCTGTAATACTCCCCCTCTAGTAGAACCTATTAGAACAAAAGGCTATTTTCCCTTACTTTTCCCTTTCTTAGCTATTATAGGCATTATTAGATAAAGTATAGCTATCTTGTAATTAATTAGATATAGGTAACCTATATATTACGTTCTAAGTAATATAGGGTTGCTTCTCCTAGTTCGCTAATTAGTCTAGTTCTTTTATATATACTAAAGTAAAAATAAAGCCGTACTTACTATACGTTTACTACTTAGACCCTATCTGTATAGTAAGCCTAGCAGTCTATATTTAAGAAGTGCGCTTTCTGTTTAAACTTAAACTTCTTCTTTCTACTAACTAATATATAACCGAAGTTTTCCGATATAGTTTAATATAACCTAATTTTAACTAAAGGTACTATTATAGCTGCGGCAACTTAGTCTAGTCTAGGTAGCCTAGCTACTAGTATAGGTAGTAGTAGTAGCGGCGGTAGAGGAGATGATCTAAATAAGAAGCTACCTAGTCGCTACGATAAGCAGTAGTTAATCGATAATAGTAAGGCTTTATTAATTAGATACGCCTTCCTATACTAATAGAGAGTAGTCTTAAAAGAGATTAAGATTACTATCGCGATCCTATAGAAGATCCTAATCGCTCTAGCTAATTCGAAGTTTAACGAGATACCTCCCTAGCTACGTAATAGCGACGTTATTATCTTTATACGCTCCTTTAAGCAAAAGGGCAGTAATACTCCCTTATATCTAGCTATCGCGGCTGCAATACGTAGGGCGGATAAGAAGTTTAACCTAGCCTCTAGATCTAACGTTAACTATCTTCTAGCTATACTTATATATACTACTTCTAGTCGTACTATCTATTAGGGGAATAATAGGTGCAAGCCCTATTAGGAAGGTAAGGGTATATATAAGGAGTGTGTTACTCTAACTGTTAATAGGAGTAAGTTTCTTAAGGGTGCCTATACTAATTGTACTAGCCTAAACTATTATAGTTGTTATAATAAGTCGAGTAAGTTGGGTTTAACTTGAGACTTAATTAGAAACTAACTAGGTTGTGGGCTATATATCGCGCCCTCGTTCGAGTACTAGTCGCTAGGCAAATCTTCCGGGTCCTGTTAGGCTACTGCCTCGCAATATAGGCAGTATAGCAGGTAGTAATTAGCGTCGCCTATATATCCCGATTCCTTCTAGGATTAACTAGAATACTCCGGAAGGCGCTTAAGCGATTACGAACGCGTTAGCTTAGTAGGTAGGGGTCTATACTACTACTACGATAGCTAGTCGTAGTCGGAATCTATACTCTCGGCTTTCTTCTAGATCGGCTATACTAGTCCCGTCTAGCTCTTCTTAGAGTAGGCTATTAGATCGTTATTCTTCCTAGAGTAGGCTATTAGATCGTTAGGATAACGACAAGGTCGATACTAACGAGGAAATAGGTAGTCCTTAAAAGGATAGGAGTATTCTTAGAAGGTTAGAGATCCTTTAGACAAAACTTCTAATATATAATTTAAGATTTGCAGTATTAGGGAGCTTCTAGTCCTTATAGATTAGGCAAATCCGGTTTTAATGTTTGTTTCTACTTTAAGATATTGTACTAAGAGCTAAAAGATTGCTCTAGATACCGAAATACCCTAGCAGAGAACTAGAAGAGTACTTAGTCTATAGAGAGTAATAAAATAAAAATAAGTATATTAAGTTTAACTTCCTGTTCTAGTAATAAATAAGAATAAAATAAGTGACTTTAGAGTTTGTCCTTTACTAGTCTAGATCCTAGAGGATAGGGTTGTTTAACTTAGGCTTAGTAAGCTAGTCTGCTATTTAGAGATTAGTAGGAATGTACTAAACATTAATCCTCCCTTTATTATACTACTCTCTATAGTAGTAGTTCCTTAGGGAAACATACCTTAACCTACTAGAGTTAGTATAATTCTTTATAAGATAGATAGTTAACTAGTTATTACAGTTGATTTTAATATAGTTAAACTTAAACCTAGTAAAGCTACTAATTTCCTTAGAGAGGTTCCTTAGCTACTTTAACTCCCTTATAGCTTTAGTAAGTGCTACGTACTCTACCTTAGTACTAGAGTAGACAACTTCCTTCTAAAGCTAGGATTTCTAGAGAACTAGTCCTCCTACTATAAGGAGTAGGAATCCTAATATAGACCTCGAGGTTTTTAGGTTACTAGCGAAGTTAGAATCTAAGTAGACCTTAAGATAGCTCTTAAGATCAACTTTTCTAGACTTGCTCTTCTTAAATACTAGGGACTTATTAACTGTTCCTACAATATATTTCTAGATATATCTTACTACTATAATATGCTCTAGTCTAGGGTTTTATAGGAATCTAGCTAAGTAGTTAATAGTATAGGTAATATTAGGTCTTGTCTAGTTAGAAAGATACTATAGCTCCTTAATTATCTAATTAAAGAGTTCGTAGTCCTCCTTCTTATAGTCTAGTTCGAAAGCAGTTAGGAGTTTCTTAAGTAGGTACTTTATACCCTTATATTAGTTAAAACTATGCTTTCTTAGCTTCTCTAGAGTGTAAGAAGGGTTATATTAGCAGGTAGATAGGGTAGTAGTAAATTAGTATAGTATTCGATAGAGATCTAAGAGGAGAGGGAGGAAGGCAGGCTAGTTAGCCTAACGCTAAGCGCTAAGCCCTGCCTAAGGCATTAGGACCCTAGCTTCACTCGGTCTAGTTATATACCAATTACGTATAACCTCTAATATACGCTTCCCTTCTAAAGGCCGCGCCCTCGTAGCCTGTCTATATTCTAACCTAATCTCCGTTACCGCTAACTTAGTAGATTAACTAAGTTGTTTAGCCGCGCTAAATTAAACGCTTAACTACCTAATTATATAACTATATCAAACCTTAC